CCACAGGCCCTCAGGCCCCACCTCAGAACCTCAGGCCCAACCCACAGGCCCTCAGGCCCCACCTCAGAACCTCAGGCCCAACCCACAGGCCCTCAGGCCCCACCACAGGCCCTCAGGCCCCACCTCAGGCCCAACCCACAGGCCCTCAGGCCCCACCCACAGGCCCCACCTCAGAACCTCAGGCCCAACCTCAGAACCTCAGGCCCAACCCACAGGCCCTCAGGCCCCACCTCAGGCCCCACCTCAGAACCTCAGGCCCAACCCACAGGCCCTCAGGCCCAACCCACAGGCCCCACCTCAGAACCTCAGGCCCAACCCACAGGCCCTCAGGCCCCACCTCAGAACCTCAGGCCCCACCTCAGGCCCCACCACAGGCCCCACCACAGGCCCTCAGGCCCCACCTCAGAACCTCAGGCCCAACCCACAGGCCCTCAGGCCCCACCCACAGGCCCCACCACAGGCCCTCAGGCCCCACCTCAGGCCCCACCTCAGGCCCAACCCACAGACCCTCAGGCCCAACCCACAGACCCTCAGGCCCAACCCACAGGCCCTCAGGCCCAACCTACAGGCCCTCAGGCCCCACCTCAGAACCTCAGGCCCAACCCACAGGCCCTCAGGCCCCACCTCAGGCCCCACCACAGGCCCTCAGGCCCCACCTCAGAACCTCAGGCCCCACCCTCAGGCCCCACCCACAGGCCCCACCACAGGCCCTCAGGCCCCACCTCAGAACCTCAGGCCCAACCCACAGGCCCTCAGGCCCCACCACAGGCCCTCAGGCCCAACCCACAGGCCCTCAGGCCCCACCACAGGCCCTCAGGCCCCACCTCAGGCCCCACCACAGGCCCTCAGGCCCCACCTCAGGCCCCACCTCAGGCCCAACCCACAGGCCCTCAGGCCCAACCCACAGGCCCTCAGGCCCCACCTCAGGCCCTCAGGCCCAACCCACAGGCCCTCAGGCCCCACCCACAGGCCCTCAGGCCCCACCTCAGAACCTCAGGCCCAACCCACAGGCCCTCAGGCCCCACCACAGGCCCAACCCACAGGCCCTCAGGCCCCACCTCAGAACCTCAGGCCCCACCACAGGCCCTCAGGCCCCACCTCAGAACCTCAGGCCCAACCCACAGGACAATCTGATATGTTCCTATAAACACAGAAAACCTCCCGTCTGAGAGATAGGAGGAGGCCCCCAGGAGCCCGCGGGGGCCAGTCTATCAGAGCCATCCACACTGAAGTCTCCATGGAAACGAGTCCAGGCTGCGGCTGATTGGACGGAAATATTGAGGGAGGTGCATCACTGACACAAACTGCTGATGATGCGTGAAAAGTGATGGGAAGGAGTTACCTGTCCAGGTGTGTGCATTACCTGCTGCTTCTCCTCGTACACCAGGATGTCCAACATCTGTCTGAGGTGCCAGGGGATCTCTGTCTGTCTCACAGGACGGCTGTCATCTGCACACACACACAGCGGCTGACTGTGATTGGCTGGTTCTGACAGGTAAGAGTGTCTGCAGGTTAAAGCTCCTCACCTGTCGTCTCGATGTAATAGTTAGTGACGGATTTCCAGTGATCCACAAAGGAGTCCAGAAGGTCCACCGTGGGCTCCCTCTGAGAGACAGGGACAGAGTGAGACAGAGACAGGGACAGGTAGAGACAGAAAGGTAGAGACACGGACAGGTAGAGACAGAGTGAGACAGGTAGAGACAGACACAGGGACAGACAGAGACAGACAGACAGAGACAGAGACAGGTAGAGACAGGTAGAGACAGAAAGGTAGAGACACGGACAGGTAGAGACAGAGTGAGACAGGTAGAGACAGACACAGGGACAGACAGAGACAGACAGACAGAGACAGGTAGAGACAGACACAGGGACAGACAGAGACAGGTAGAGACAGAGACAGGTAGAGACAGACACAGGGACAGACACAGGGACAGACAGAGACAGGTAGAGACAGAGACAGGTAGAGACTCCTCCTCCAACATTCCTCCACGTCACCACCAACATACCTGCTGCAGGTAAACAGACTCTAACTTTAGCTTCACTTACTTTAGCAAACTGGTTTCTGTTAGTTTCCGGTGTCAGTGTTAATCACACGGTCCTCCCAGACAGACAGACAGGTAGAGACAGACAGACAGGCTGTCCTCACCTTCACTTCAACTTTATTTAACTTTATTTACCTGAGCTAACAGAAGCTAACCGTGCTAACGTTAACTAGCTGCTAACTCACCGTCTCCAGCGCGTGCAGCAGCATGCTGGTTAGCTTACTGAACGTCTCCATTCTCCCGCCAGAACCGAGCGACACCGACTTAGCCCGGTTAAACCCGGTTAAACCCGGTTATTTACCGGACAGCTACCGTCTCACAGAGGCATGTTGACAACTAGACCAACAGCTGACCGCGTCAAGCTGAAACCACGAAACTGCACACATCCGGGCGACTTTCAAAATAAAACACAAGCGCAACGTCAGATATCGCATCCGGTTAGGAGATTTCAAAATAAGAGTTTAGATAACACGGACGGGGTAGTGAAGTACAGTGGGTACGGAAAGTATTCAGACCCCTTTAAAATTTTCAGTTTTTCTTTTTTAATAAATTTGCAAAAATTTCTACATTTCTGTTTTTTTTCTGTCAAGATGGGGTGCTGAGTGTACATTACTGAGAAATAAAATGAACTTTTTTGATTTTTGGAAAATGGCTGCAATGAAACAAAGAGTGAAAATTTTAAAGGGGTCTGAATACTTTCCGTACCCACTATAAATATGAGTGCTTAATTATTCTGAAAAACCTCTAGTTAGTTTATGTGGGTCAAACCTAAAGGCCTCCAACTAAAGACATGGATCAGAATCAACTTTATAGGTCAGGAAACACAAACTAGGAATCTGACTTTGGATCGTACTTTGCTCTCAATGTACACAGGACAAGAGTAAACAAACAAGAGTAAACAAAGGCTCTTTTACAGACCACAGCTCAATTCCTTCGTCATTTCGGCCCTCTGCTGGTGGTCTGTCCTCTCAGGTGTCCACTGCTAGGGTTTGTCTTCTTGGGCTCAACTACAACACAGCAGGACGAATGTAGGACAGGCTGCGCAAGCTCAAGTCCTTTAATGTGTGCTGCAGGGTGTTGTACATTTTAACAGTCTGTTTCTAGTACAGTTTTCTCTGCAGGTACCTGTTGGGGCAGCAGCGTCAGGATGCAGGATATGCAGGCACGTGCACACAGAGGGCCTTTCCAAAACTAGACCCGCACCATTTCCACTCCATCACAGAGCTCCAATCCCAATGTCCCCCCTAAACCCTAAGTCCTGAACCCTCACAGACTTCACTGACGTCACTTGGAAAGTGATTGAGTTTAAGAGGCTGTGAGGGCTCAAAATGCTGTAAACAGAAACGGGACAGCACTTTGCCACTTTATCACTCTTTATTTGATGTTTTTGCCTGATGTTTAAGTCCTGCAGACTCTCGCCCTGCAGAGTGGAGGAGAGGTAGTCTAAATGTCAATATATATTTGTAATTAATCAAAACACTATTGTTGGTCAAACAGACTCATTAAGCAAAAACTAAAGTAAATAGTTGAATAAACTCAGTGTGTGATGAGGTGACTGCTTTCCTCTGACTTCATGTGTTCTATGCAGCATCTTAAGTTAAGAAAACTTTCAACAAGTTTAACATCAGCGTAGGTGTTTACTGTTTTCTTCTTCTCTTATAACGCGGATTTGCCGTGACATTTCTCTCGCTTCCGGGCTTTCCCCGGTAACCCATGTGTTTCACGTCATACCGCTATGAACTGTGGGCAATCCCCTCAGCCAAAGTCTGCAGAAATACGGACTTACAAAAAGTGTCTATAAAGGGCTCAAAATGTCCGCGAGAGAGCCCTCGCGCACTTGACGATTCGACAGTGGGAACCACCCTCTCCCCCCAGTGTAAACAGGATCTGACGTTACTGCTGCACTCACTGCTGTAATATGTGGATCAAATAAACAACAGGTTCACTGTCTATCAGACAAGAGCATTTTTTTAATTAAACACAATATAACCTTTTGGCTGCGTTGTTAACCTGTGAACGGTGTGAACACAGGTGTGCCTTAGGCTGGCCACAATAAAAGGCCTTAGGCTGGCCACAATAAAAGGCCACTCCAAAATGTGCAGTTTCACTGAATTAGGGGGGGTCCAGAAACCAGTCAGTATCTGGTGTGACCACCATTTGCCTCACGCAGTGCAACACATCTCCTTCGCGTAGAGTTGATCGGGTTGTTGATAACATTTGTGTCTAATAACGTCATCAGTCGCCACATTGATATATAAATTAGGCGTTAACTAATGAAAATGCGCACTGTGACAAGGCACTGCAGATGAAAAGGATAAACAAAATAAAGTATTACCACAGAACTTCCTCAGTTAATGACTTACATCAAGAGTGTTTTCCCCTGTTTAAATATGCAGATTAGCTTGTTTTGGTTTAGGATGAGGTTGGAACATTGGCCATCTTAGCTTTCCGGGTGGATGGGCAAGGGCAAGTTCCTTAACTACCCGTGTCCATTTAACTTTCTTAACTACCCGTGCACGTTTAACTTCCTTAACTACCCGTGTCCGTTTAACTTTCTTAACTACCCATGCCCGTACAAGTTCCTTAACTACCCGTGTCCATATAAGGTTCTTAATTACCCATGCCCGTTTAAGTTCCTTAACTACCCGTGCCCGTTTAACTTTCTTAACTACCCATGCCCGTACAAGTTCCTTAACTACCCGTGCCCATATAAGGTTCTTAACTACCCGTGTCCATATGAGGTTCTTAATTACCCATGCCCGTTTAAGTTCCTTAACTACCCGTGCCCGTTTAACTTCCTTAACTACCCGTGTCCGTTTATCTTTCTTAACTACCCGTGCCCGTTTAACTTTCTTAACTACCCGTGCCCGTTTAAGTCCGTAACTACCCGTGCACGCTGAAGTTCCTTAACTACCCGTGTGCATTTAAGAAGGAGCTCCTAGTCTCACTGCTTTGTTCTAAAGAATAAAACTTGTCTGTCTGCACTGGCACGTTTCAGACACCGGGGGCGCTGAGGTCCAGATTGTGCAACAGGCTGATAGTGTAACAGTTTATTGGAGCATCTCTTTATAAATACTGATGATAAATAACAACAACAGAAAGTTTCATAAATACAGAACAGAGACAGAAGCCACAGTGAACACAGCAGGGTCTAGTAGGGTCCAGCAGAGTCCAGTAGAGTCCAGAAGAGTCCAGTAGGGTCCAGTAGAGTTTAGTAGATTCCAAAATAGTTTAGTAGAGTCCAACAGTGTTGATTAGAGTCTGGTAGAGTCCAACAGAGTCCAGCACAGTTCAGTAGAGTTCAGTAAAGTCCAGCACAGTCCAGCAGAGTTCAGTAGAGTCCAGCAAAGTTCAGTAGAGTCCAGCTGTACAGGACAGCCGAGGTGTGTGTGTGTGTGTGTGTTCACAAACTATTCATCACAATTTAAAGTTTTTACTGTTGTACAATAAAATCTGATGTTTACATTAAAATCAGTAGAATTCTCTGAAACAACACAAACTAACGTCTAACTGTCTCACATCACCCTCGGATCCAGATAAACTAAATGTTCAACGCTAAGGAAGCCCAGAGCGGCCAAGCGCTCAACACAATCAGATGAAGGTTTGTTCTCCTATGACGGAGCTACGCTAACAGTTTCCCCATGTTTCCAGTCTTTGTGCTAAGCTAGGCTAACCCTCTCTGTGTCCAGGACACACAGAGCTGAAGCTGATAAAATGCTGGACTGTTCCTTTAAGTCACGATCTAAACACAAAGAGCCTAAAGAGTCACGGAGCTCTGAACTTCCACCAGACAAACTGTCAACGCCACGTCGGTCAATAAAGTTTCATCTTCTAATATAAACACCGGAGCCACGTAGAGCTGAAGTTGTTCCAGTTAGACTGGTGGGGACCAGTAGGGACCAGTTGGGACCAGTAGAGACCAGTAGGCACCGGTTGGGACCAGTAGGGACCAGAAGAGATCGGTAGGGACCAGTAGGGACCAGTAGAGACCGATCAGGATCAGTAGGGACCAGTAGAGACCAATTGGGACCAGTGGGGACCAGTAGATACCAGTTGGGAATTGTAGGGACCAGTAAAGACCAGTAGGGACCGATTGGGACCGGTTGGGACCAGTAGAGACCAGTAGAGACCAGTAGAGACCAGTTGGGACCAGTAGGGACCAGTAGAGACCAGTAGGGACCAGAGTAGTTCCAAGTGACTTAGTTCAATAATAAAGACGTGCAGTTTGGTTGCTGGAAGTTTCTGGCTCTCACCATGAAGTACCAGAAGGAAACAGGATATGATGTCAGACTTCGTAATGAACGATGCAAAACATGCAAAACAAAAATACGAGCTGAGTGGTAACCTAGCAACAGGGGCAGAGTCAGGTCAGAGGTGAGATCCATCATTTGATTGGCAGTTCTGTGGTTAAATAAAGAGCATGGTTAATGAGTTAGCCCCGCCTCCTGTGGCCTCACACATTATGCAGATAAGCCCCTCCCACCTCCTGCAGTCAGAGCCAATCAGAGCTCAGCAGCCGCCGGAGTTACGGAACTCTCCATTCTCCGTGATCTGCAGAGACGACGTGTTGCTAGGAGACAGCCCATTCCTCTGTGATGTCACGGCGTAGCGTTCCTTTAGCTGAGTCAGTGCCGCCATCAGGCGACTGTTGGCGGCATCGAGACTCGCAATCCTCTTCTCCTGAGAGAAAGGAAGAGAGACAGACAGGAAGAGAGACAGACAGGAAGTCAGCTTATTGAAATATCTCATAGAACAGAACTAAAGTCTAAGACAGACAGACAGACAGACAGACAGACAGACAGACAGGTACCTGTGCCTCTATGATCTTCTGTTTGGAGTCGACCACAGCTTGCATGTCAGAGTGATCCTTCTTCAGCTCCTCCTCCACTGCCATCAACCTGCACAGGTGAGAGGTCACACCTTTATACGTACTTAACACAGACACACAGGTGTTCCGACACACAGATATTCAGATAGATACACAGGTGTTCCGACAGACAGACAGGTGTTCAGATAGAGAGACAGGTATTCAGACAGACAGTTGTTCAGACACATAGGTGTTCAGACAGACAGATGTTCTGACAGACAGACAGGTGTTCCTACAGACAGGTGTTCCAACAGACAGGTGTTCCTACAGACAGGTGTTCCAACAGACAGGTGTTCCTACAGACAGGTGTTCCAACAGACAGGTGTTCCTACAGACAGGTGTTCCTACAGACAGGTGTTCCAACAGACAGGTGTTCCAACAGACAGGTGTTCCTACAGACAGGTGTTCCTACAGACAGGTGTTCCTACAGACAGGTGTTCCAACAGACAGGTGTTCCAACAGACAGGTATTCAGACAGACAGGTGTTCAGACAGACAGGTGACCGACCTGCTGATGATGCTGTTCATCTGCAGGTCTTTATCGTCCTGCAGCCTCCTCAGTCGGCTCTCTGTGTCCTCCAGCCGAGCCTGAAACACACACTCATCATGAAGGTGCTGACTCTCCTCTGCCTTACTGATCCAACTCTGATTGAACCGATGTTTGTTTTTCGATTACAGACCAGCCTCTCCACAGAGTGTCTGTTTCTCTACTCCTTTATGTTTCATAAGAAACTAACTGTAGGACATGGAAGAATCAGCTCATCTCTGACAGGTGCAGGTCTTACACACCTGGTACTCCTGCAGCATGCGTTGGTTTTGCTGATCCTGGACCAGCAGTCGGGCTTCACACTCGTCCTGCCGCAGCGCTGCAACTCGCAACTTCTCCTGCAGCAATGCAATCTCCTGCTGGTACTGCACACACACAGAGAGTCAGAACCAGCAGACTCAGTGGAACCAGCAGAACCAGTACAGACCCAGAACGAGGAGTCTCTTACCTTCTCTATGAGGGCGTCGTCATGACGATCGTCCTCCGTCTCGCCATAGGAGGAGGCGGAGTTCATGTTGAGCAGCCAGGCGGCTGTACGGTCCAACGCACAGGGAGACGGAGCCTGGACACACACAGGTACACTGATGCTGTTACCATAGCAAACATCAGCAACCAGGCTTCTCTAAACTCCTGCAACTCGCTCCTGCTGCTGCCTTCATGTGGCATCCGACCTCTGCAGACTCACATCTACATTACATTCATTCATGTGGCTTTTATCCAAAGCGAGTTACATTTGAGGAACAACACCAACAAAGCATCAATACAGTAAGAGATCTACAACTGACAGTAGATACTACTAAGAGCTAAATACCTGGGGGAAGAAGTAAAACTGATGATACACGGTGCAACTTTTTGAGCAATCTTGCTGGTGGCAAGTCTGACTATGTTTTGAACGGATAGCGGCGGTGCGGGGCGGGTGGCGGAGTGGTATGGGAAGGGGATTATGCCCTGCCTGCTTGCTCTAAAAGTTGCTCCGTGTATCATCAGCTTAAGAGTTAACGACAGGTGCAATCAATACAAGAGAACTGTGAGGGGACAGAAGAAGAAGAGCACAGGAAGTGCATGTCAGAGGTTCGAGGTGTTATCAGAGGAAGTGTTCTCTACAGAGTTTTCAGGAGCTTCTTGAAGTCAGAGAGGGACGCCCCTGCTCTGATGGCGTGCGGTAGCTCGTTCCACCATCGCGGTGTCACAGATGAGAACACGGACTGGGATTGCTTTGTGTGAAGGGATGGCAGAGCCAGGTGGCGTTCGTTGGAGGACCGCAGTGGCCCAGAAGGAACGTAGGCTTGGATTATGGAGTTTAGGTAGATGGTGAAGACCCAGTAGTCACTCTGTATGCAGGATTTGGATTTGATCAAAAACCAGACGTGCTGCTGAGTTCTGAAACATTTGTAAGGGTTTCACAAGCTGGAAGACCTGCTAGGAGGGCAGAGGGATTAGGCCTGTATCAGAAGCTGGGTGGCGTACTGAGTGAGGTAGGGCTGATTTTTCTGATGTTGTATAGAGCAAAGCGGCACGACCGAGAGACAGTAGCTACATGGTCTGAAAAGGACAGCTGGTCATCAATCATGACACCCAAGTTTCTCACCACCTTGGTTGGAGTGATGGTTGAGGAGCCAGTTTGTAGTTTGATGTTATGGTGGATAGATTGCTTGGCTGGAATGACCAAGAGTTCAGTCTCAGAGAGATTTAGTTGAAGGCGACTTTGTCCATGCAGAAATGTCAGAGAGACAGTCTGTGATTCGTGCCGAGACGGTGGGGTCGTCTGGCGGGAAGGATAGGTAGAGTTGCGTATCGTCTACGTAGCAGTGATAAGAGAGCGAGCGAATGATTGTCCTCAGTGAGGTGGTGTAAATTGAGAAGAGAAGGGGCCCTAGCACTGAGCCTTGGGTTGCAGCTTTAGCTGACCTTAGGGCTTCTGGTACAGACAGAAGAGCCGTTTCAGTAGAGTGGGCACTCAGAACTGTTTGAAGATAAAAATGGTAGATGTAAAAAACTGGCAGATAGTTCTCAACTTGAGTTGGGTCGACGGAATGCTTGTTGAGCGAGAGTGTAACCCGAGCCCTTTTGAAAGTGGTCGGGAAGGTTCCCGAAGTATTTATCACATGAGTGATTGCCGGGACAATGGTAGGAGATATGGCTTGAAGGACATTTGTAGGAATCAGGTCCAGGGGGCCTGTAGTGGGACGGCTACGGGTCAACAGTCCTGATACTTTGTTCTCTGTGAGAGGAGTAAACGAGAAGAGAGAATTGCCATTGACGTGGGAGGGCAGAGGAACGGATGTAGTAGGACTGCTACATGTTAGCCTTGGTGTTGAGCCTTTTGCGCCATTTCCCGAAGGACAGATGGAGGGAGGCATGTATAAGGACTGCTGCATGGGTTTTTTTCTTGTGCCGAGTTCATAGAGTGGGAGCTGACCGGAGCGGGAGTACACTGGTTGATTTTGAGTGATTTAGGGAATTTGCCTGTGAAGAAGGCAGCAAAGGTATCAGCGGACAGTTTGTGGGTGGTGGAGGAGGTGGAGGAGGATTTAGTAGCATTTTAAGTCGGTGGCGCAGTTCTGGCAGCACTGATGCTGGTTGAGAAGGAGGATAGGAGCAGTTGGTATCCCTTAAGGTCGGCAGGGTCTTTGGTTTTTACCATTTTCTTTCAGCGGCTCTGAGATCAGTACGCAGCCCACGGACGGTAGCAGTTGCTACAGGTGGAACTGGTTCTGGCGAGCAGGCTTGGTGTGTAGAGGACACAGGCTATCCAGGCACAGGCTCAGTGTAGAGCGCAGAGACTGGACGGCATCATTGACCTCGAGTGAGGAAAATGTGTTGAGGGGAGTTAGAGCGGAGGCTACCACCGAGGCAAAGTGAGCGGGAGACACGTCACGGAGGTTGCGGCGGTGCGATACGTCCGGTGCCGGAACAATGGGCTGTTCCTGTAGGCATACCGTGAACTGGATGAAATAGTGGTCAGACATGTGTAGAGGTGTGACTGTGGCATTCGGCGGCACAGTTTAGGACAAGAACGAGGTCAAGAACCTTGCCAGCTTTGTGGGTCAGGGGGCTGAAATAATGTATTAGCAAAAGCAGTGATAAAGTCAGGTTTGTCACTGCAGACGGGCAGTTTCATGACCCAACAGAGATGAAGCCAGGTGTGGGTGGTATCTGTTTCAAAGGCTTGGGTGCTACCCTTGTAAGTGGCCTTGCTCGGTGGAATTGTACAGGTAGACTTGCTGGTTTTTAACCAAGTAGGTCTTCACCCGAGGAGCTGACGTTTAAACTGACGCTTCAGTGACAGGTTTCATTAAAGTAACATGCGTCTTATGGCCTACAGGTGTTGGTGCATTAGGACTGATTGCACCCACCTGAGATCACCCTCTGGATTAACAAGACAAAATGTTGATTGTAGTGGGCGAGTCAGAGACACACCCAGATATCTGAGATCGCTCAGCCGGCATTCAGTTTCTAGTGGAATACTCAGTAAAGTGCAAAGTGATTGCACACCAGGAAGTAACAAATTAAAATAGAGTCAATATTACCTCTCTTACTTGCCCACAGACTCACCTGTTCAGGCCGCAGACTCACCTGTTCAAGCTGCAGACTTACCTGTTCAGGCCGCAGACTCACCTGTTCAAGCTGCAGACTCACCTGTTCAAGCTGCAGACTCACCTGTTCAGACTGCAGACTCACCTGTTCAGACTGCAGACTCACCTGTTCAGACTGCAGACTCACCTGTTCAGACTGCAGACTCACCTGTTCAGACTGCAGACTCACCTGTTCAAGCTGCAGACTCACCTGTTCAAGCTGCAGACTCATGTGTTCAGACTGCAGACTCACCTGTTCAGACTGCAGACTCACCTGTTCAGGCCGCAGACTCACCTGTTCAAGCTGCAGACTCATGTGTTCAGACTGCAGACTCACCTGTTCAAGCTGCAGACTCACCTGTTCAGACTGCAGACTCACCTGTTCAGCCTGCAGACTCACCTGTTCAGGCTGCTGACTCTAAATGTTAGACCGAGCTGATCTGCTGTTTCTATGACAACACCTACAGTCCCATAATAAGCAGCAACAAGGTGTCAAAGGTCAGATTGGCAGGTTACCATGGTAAAAGACTGGTTACCTTGGCAGAGGGTCGCTGTTTCTCGGGGCTGTCTCCTTTAGACGACGATGAGGTCTGTCTGAGCCGCGACTGGCCGCTGCTGGGCCAATCAGGACTTGATGACATCATACTACCGGAGGCGGGGCGAGGAGGGTAGGCGGAGCCTCCGGCACCGCTGAGCATGCTGGGAGGTGTCCGGCCTCGAGGAGGTCCCGGTGGAGCGGAGGAAGGGGGAGGAGGCTGATCGATACGTCTCTGAGGACCCGAGGAGTTCTGACGAGGGGGGACAGAGTTACCTGAGGGGGAGAAGCAACAACAGTGACATCATCAGAAGATGAGTCAGGAAAGTCATCACAACAATATGTTACCTGACTGACGTGTGTTACCTGAGTGACCTGTGTTACCTGTGAGGGTCTCGGTGAGGGACAGAGCTCGTCTGGAGTACTCCTCCCCGCTGCTGCTGCTGGACATGGCCGACATCCTCTCCCCCCTCTCTCCCCCTCCCAACCCCACAGACATCTGGGTAAGAAACGCTGGTTTGGTTGTCGTTGCGTTCCTGTCGTCGGCATTTCCCTGTGACCCTGCCGAGCCGTCCGAGGGCGTGGCATCTGTCTGCGGCCGTGGCGACGTGGTGGTCATGTGATACACGGGGTTCTGGAAAGAGAGTGGGAGCAGCCCCGTCCTGCGCTGCCACTGGCTGTCGTCAAGGCCGTCGCTAGGGGACGAGTCCTGCAAGTCGATCAGAGACAGACTGCGGCTCTCGTTGGTCAGATCTGGCCCCTCCCTCCGGCCCCCATTGGTCATTTCAAACCCTTCCTCGTTCTCATTCGGCTCCGAGTAGGATGAGCTCGGAGCCGGAGAGCCCGCCAGGCCTGCAGGAAGTGACATCAGCAGAAAGGTCAGTTTCAGAGGTCAAAGGTTACAGACTGAGGTGACGTATTGGATAAAGGTCAAAGGTCACCTGAGGCGGGCTGCAGACTGGATCCTTTAGTAACGAAGAACAAGTCTTTGTTTTCTGGAGTTGGAGAGGGGAGTCTGGTGAAATCTACCAAACTACACACACACACACACACACATATACATACATACACACACACACACACGCACACACACACACTATTAAAGTTCAATAACATAGTAGCATGGTTACCCCTCCCCCTCCCCTTCACGTTGCCACGGTGCCACAATTTACTTGAACCCCCCCCACTGTCCTCTTATGTGAAAATCAAAATATGGTTAATTGAGCTGGATGCTAATGCGAACAGGACACATGATGCTAACCCTCCGTCGAGTCCGGCCCCACCCTGCAGGCCGATGGAGGGATTACAGGTCGCCAGAGGAGGAGAGAGGGGCGGGGACAGAGGGGGCGGGGACAGAGGGGGCGGAGACACCACACGCTGAGGCTCCGGGGAGGAAATGGGCACGCCCCCGGGATGAGCCACGCCCCCCGGGTTAGCGTGAGCTGCAGACACGTCTCTGAGGATCCGAGGAAGAGGCCCAAGCTTTGACAGACACGCCTGCAGGCAGACAGGCAGGAGAGAGAGGGAGACAGAATATTAATTGATCTGCTGGGCTTTCAATTCAGACGTTCAGATCGACTCTACTCTCATATCTGTACGCTGAATATGAAGCTAATGGCAGCAGCTGTTAGCTTAGCTTAGCGTAAAGAGTGGAAACAAGGGGGAACAGCTAGCTTGCCTCTGTCCTAAGTGATTTACTAAAGGTTTGTTTTGCATTTCCAGGCCAGGTTGTCAAAACGGCAAGACTAATCTGAACATTATTTTAGACAAATGACCTGACCTCTGTTTCACTGATCAGTCGTGGAGCTCTGAGAGTTTATGAGAGAAAATTACCTGATTCACAGGATGTAAATTAAAGTTTTGACCCAAACAGTCACTGTCTCACAGCTGAGTAGGAGACTCACAGGACGACTGTCAGCAGGATCCTGGATAGTTTTCAGCATCACAAGACTGACAAAGTCCTGTGTTACCTGGTCAAGCTCGGTCAGCAGGGTGTGCAGACTGGACAGCTCCCGGCCAAGGTCGATGTATCCGTCGAAGCCGGCAGTGTGGTTTAGTCCGTCCGGGTTTGAGATCTCCTGCAGGAAACGCTGCATGCTGCTCCACTGCCGCTCCACAAAGTCATTCATAAACAGCATATACTCCTCTTTAGTGCCAAACCTGCAACCACGGGTAACAGGTAACCCACACAGGTGAACAAACAATACAGGTAACAAGTTCAGGAACATCTACAGGTCAAAGGAAATCAGGCTCCTTCACAGTAAAAGCCCAGACTTACTTGCTGAAGTTGGCGAGGGTCTGGATGACTTTGGCGATGAGGGTTAAAGTTCTTGCTGAGCGTTCATCAGGGTATTCCTGCATCAGGTCGAACAGTGACGGTGACATCACAGCCGGACACAGGAAGCGCAGGAACAACGAAGCACTGATGAGACGCTCGCTGATGTCTGGTCGCCCCCGGTTACTACACTCCTGTCGCCACGATGCAAACACCTCCTTCAGCTCCCGGGGGAAGACCCTGAGTGTGGGGCGGGGGGTTATATACTGAGACACGTGTTCTCACTGTGTGCGCACAGTGTGTGTTTAATGTGTATTCAGTATTTATTTACCTGTACGAGTCGAGGATCTTGCAGAAGGCGAGTTCACAGCACATCCTAAGGTTGGCCTGATGCTCTGCAAGGTCAGAGGTCGCACAGCGAGACGGGTCGACCTCACAGTTCTCATCTGACTCATACAGAGCTTTAATGAACTCACCTGCACACACACAGGGTTAAGGAGTGACTTACTTTTCAAGACCTCCTAAGTGTCATCAATGTTTCCTCTGGAAACTGCAGACAAACTGCGACTAACTGCAGACTAACTGGACTAACTGTGGACTTACCGCAGACTTTCGTAGGACTGACTGCAGACTAACTGCAGACTATCTGAGGACTAACTGCAGACTATCTGAGCATTAACTGTGGACTTACTGCAGACTTTCTGAGGACTATCTGAGGACTAATTGAGGACTTACTGCGGACTATCTGAGGACGAAGTGCAGACTACCTGAGGACTAATTGAGGACTAATAGAGGACTAATAGAGGACTTACTGCAGACATTCTAAGGACTAACTGCAGACTATCTGAGGTCTATCCGAGGACTAATTGAGGACTTACTGCAGACGTTCTGAGGACTAACTGCAGACTATCTGAGGACTAATTGAGGACTTACTGCAGACTATCTGAGGACTATCTGAGGACTTACTGCAGACGTTCTGAGGACTAACTGCAGACTATCTGAGGACTAATTGAGGACTTACTGCAGACGTCCTGAGGACTAACTGCACGCTATCTGAGGACTATCTGAGGACTATCTGAGGACTAATTGAGGACTATCTGAGGACTAATTGAGGACTAACTGCAGACTATCTGAGGACTATCTGAGGACTAATTGAGGACTTACTGCAGACGTTCTGAGGACTAACTGCAGACTATCTGAGGACTAATTGAGGACTTACTGCAGACTATCTGAGGACTAAAATGCAGACTAACTGTAGACTATCTGATGACTAATTGAGGACTAACTTCAGACTATCTGAGGACGTACTGCAGACGTTCTGAGGACGTACTGCAGACGTTCTGAGGAAGTACTGCAGACGTTCTGAGGACTAGCTGCAGACTATCTGAGGACCAATTGAGGACTTACTGCAAACTATCGGAGGACTAAAATGCAGACTAACTGCAGACTATCTGAGCACTAAATGTGGACTTACTGCAGACTTTCTGAGGACTAATTGAGGACTAACTGCAAACTATCTGAGGACTAACTGAAATTACTGCAGACTTTCGGAGGACTGACTGCAGACTAACTGCAGACTATCTGAGGACTATCTGAGGACTAATTGAGGACTTACTGCGGACTATCTAAGGACGAAGTGCAGACTAACTGAGGACGAAGTGCAGACTATCTGAGGACTAATTGAGGACTAATTGAGGACTAATAGAGGACTTACTGCAGACGTTCTGAGGACTAACTGCACGCTATCTGAGGACTATCTGAGGACTAACTGCAGACTATCTGAGGACTAACTGCAGACTATCTGAGGACTAACTGCAGACTATCTGAGGACTAATTGAGGACTAACTGCAGACTATCTGAGGACTATCTGAGGACTTACTGCAGACGTTCTGAGGACTAACTGCAGACTATCTGAGGACTAATTGAGGACTAACTGCAGACGTTCAGAGGACTAATTGAGGACTTACTGCAAACTATCTGAGGAGTAAATGCATACTATCTGAGGACTAACTGCAGACTATCTGAGCACTTACTGTGGACTTACTGCAGACTTTCTGAGGACTAATTGAGGACTATCTGAGGACTATCTGAGGACTAATTTAGGATTAACTGCACACTATCTGAGGACTAACTGGAATTACTGCAGACTTTCGGAGGACTCACTGCAGACTACCTGAGGCCTATCTGAGGACTTACTGCAGACTACCTGAGGACTATCTGAGGACTAACTGCAGACTATCTGAGGACTAATTGAAGACTAACTGCAGACGTTCTGAGGACTAACTGCAGACTATCTGTGGACTATCTGAGGATTAATTGAGGACTAACTGCAGAAGTTCTGAGGACTAACTGCAGACTATCTGAGGACTAATTGAGGACTTACTGCAGACTATCTGAGGACTAATTGAGGACTATCTGATGACTAATTGAGGACTAACTTCAGACTATCTGAGGACTAAAATGCAGACTAACTGCAGACTATCTGAGCACTAACTGTGGACTTACTGCAGACTTTCTGAGGACTAACTGCAGACTATCTGAGGACTAACTGTAAACTAACTGCAGATTAACAGTTTTCATGTATTTTGTGTTATAAATTGTGTTTAGTGTTTTGTGTACCAAGGGCGTCCTGCAGGTACTTCTGTCCAATCAGCTTCAGGTATTCCTCGATACTCTTTGTTGCCAGTGTGTTCTCTCTGAAGATCAGCTGGTCGTTGTCACGGCAACGGTCCACCTCTGACATCATCAGGTCCGTCAGGAATTCCTGTAGGAAGTGTCAAAGGTCATCCTTATTTGGTCCAAAAATCAGCACTCATTAACTCCTCCCTGTCAAGGCAGGTCTATGTAGAGGACTTCATAGTGTGTAGTGGGCGGGGTCATGTGTGATGGACGGGGCCATGTGTGGTGCACGGGGCCATGTGTGGTGGGCGGGCCATACGCAATGGATGGAGCCATGTCTGATAGGCGGGGTCTATGTGATAGTGGAGTCATGCATGATGGGTGGGGTCATGTGCAGTGGGCGGGGCTGTGTGCAGACCTACCTTGGCTTTGCCAGTGCTGTGCAGGATGTGTACGAGTGCTGCAGCGAGCTCCTCTTTGGCTCTCAGGCTGATGGAGGCTTCCAGCGTGTTACACAGCAGCAGGTAGTTGGAGCTGATGTACTCTGCAAACTCTTTGTACTGCTCCATCGGCAGGATGACAATGCTCTGGTAACGAGCTTTGATTCGCACTGTCGGCACGGACGACTTACCTGAAACACAACATGAAGAACGAACACACAGAAGCTGCAGTGAGTTACCTGAACATCTCTGCAAAGGAGCACCACCCAACCTGATCGATGATGGAGAAGTATTTGTTAGGCATTTTACTGCATACAGAAAACACTAATGCTGGTTTCACACACAACGTGATGTGAGCGTTGGGCGCAGCGTGATTACATACAAAATCAATGCAAAGACGCGGAGAGATGTTATTTCCAGCCCTGTCCCGGTGACAAGATTGCTGCGATGCGAAGTATGCAATCATGTGATACATTGTGCAAGCTGCATTCGTGTGATAACCTGTCAGTGTTCAGGCTGCCCGGACGTCACAGACGGCTTCTCAGAGTGCCCGGACGGATTCTGCTCTGACAACAGCGCTGTTTAACATCAGGAGGATCTCAGAGCTAACTGCTTTTATTAAATTAACTTTTTACTTTAATTTCTGGGATTAAAACATTGATTAATTGTCACTCAGCTTCTGCTGCCGTGTGTCTGTTGTTACTGCAGCTGCAGAGGTCTGAGGGACGACTTCATATTTATACAGAGCGACACAGCAGAAGGATGCTGGGAGAAAAGAGAGGAATCTGAACTACCTGTGAGTTCAGAAAATGTGTCTGTTACTTGATTCCAGCTGTCGTTATTTACTGTGAACAAGTTAGCTTAGCCTTGATCGAGCCAAACTACAGTCAGAAAACAAAATCCTAACTAACTAACAAACTAAAATGTGTGTGCTTTTGTCATCTTGCTGACCGACCTGACAAAGCATGAATTCATATTTTTAGACAGCCATAGTAATGGTGGGTTGTGTTTATTCAAGTTATAGCATAGTGTGTGAACAATTGTGCACTTTAAAATTTGCACCCTGTTTAAATGCGCCATTAGGAACAAACCCCTGATAACTATCTGTATATTTGGCGGCGGTGGGGGGCAGGCCCCCTCACTGTCACGTTGATTAAATCACTAAAATCTTCTGACTGTCGTCCAACATACTACCGACGAGAGGAGCTGATGAAGATACTGATGCTGCTTCATGATTAAACACAGCAGCCAGCTTAATGAGCAGCAGCAGGCGGAGGCCGCTGCCTCTCAGGGGCCTGAAGGAAACACCTGTAGACACAACTCAGGGCTGAAAAAGATCATCAGTGTTTCTAGTTTCAGTTAATATTCTCCTCAGAGGCGACACGAGTCAAAGGTCAGAGGAGGCTCACAGAGTGACCATTTTGTTCTTCATCAGAATGTGTTGTAGTACTACATCAGTCTACCTACCCCTGCTGGTACTGGGCGTGCTCACTGCGTACCACTTCTCCACCAGCTGTCTGCCGGTCACCGCGGCGACGGGGATGTTGACCAACCCGACGTAGCTGCTTTTGTCCTTCTTCCTCTTCCTGTCGGTATCTTTGTACAGGTGGAGTGTGACGGCGCCGACGGATGGAAGACTGCTGAAGTCAAAACGCTCGCCCCAAAAGATGTTGTCCGTCTTCAGCTTACACGACGTCCGAGCGTACAGACTGTCGTCCAGACACAGCTCGCAGAAGTACCTGCAGTACAAATACTGCTGTTACTGAAGTACCTGCAGTACGAATACTACTGTTGCTGAAGTACCTGCAGTACAAATACTACTGTTACTACAGACTGTCGTCCAGACACAGCTCGCAGAAGTACCTGCAGTACAAATACTGCTGTTACTGAAGTACCTGCAGTACGAATACTACTGTTGCTGAAGTACCTGCAGTACAAATACTACTGTTACTACAGACTGTCGACCAGACACAGCTCGCAGAAGTACCTGCAGTACAAATACTGCTGTTACTGAAGTACCTGCAGTACGAATACTACTGTTGCTGAAGTACCTGCAGTACAAATACTACTGTTACTACAGACTGTCGACCAGACACAGCTCGCATAAGTACCTGCAGTACAAATACCGCTGTTACTGCAGTACAAATACTACTGTTACTACAGACTGTCGTCCAGACACAGCTCGCAGAAGTACCTGCAGTACAAATACTGCTGTTACTGAAGTACCTGCAGTACGAATACTACTGTTGCTGAGGTACCTGCAGTACAAATACCGCTGTTACTGCAGTACAAATACTACTGTTACTACAGACTGTCGACCAGACACAGCTCGCAGAAGTACCTGCAGTACAAATACTGCTGTTACTGAAGTACCTGCAGTACGAATACTACTGTTGCTGAAGTACCTGCAGTACAAATACTACTGTTACTACAGACTGTCGACCAGACACAGCTCGCATAAGTACCTGCAGTACAAATACCGCTGTTACTGCAGTACAAATACTACTGTTACTACAGACTGTCGACCAGACACAGCTCGCAGAAGTACCTGCAGTACAAATACTGCTGTTACTGAAGTACCTGCAGTACGAATACTACTGTTGCTGAAGTACCTGCAGTACAAATACTACTGTTACTACAGACTGTCGACCAGACACAGCTCGCATAAGTACCTGCAGTACAAATACCGCTGTTACTGCAGTACAAATACTACTGTTACTACAGACTGTCGTCCAGACACAGCTCGCAGAAGTACCTGCAGTACAAATACTGCTGTTACTGAAGTACCTGCAGTACGAATACTACTGTTACTGAAGTACCTGCAGTACAAATACTACTGTTACTACAGACTGTCGACCAGACACAGCTCGCAGAAGTACCTGCAGTACAAATACCGCTGTTACTGCAGTACAAATACTACTGTTACTACAGACTGTCGTCCAGACACAGATCGCAGAAGTACCTGCAGTACAAATACTGCTGTTACTAAAGTACCTGCAGTACAAATACTACTGTTACTACAGACTGTCGACCAGACACAGCTCGCAGAAGTACCTGCAGTACAAATACTGCTGTTACTGAGGTACCTGCAGCACAAATACCGCTGTTACTGCAGTACAAATACTACTGTTACTACAGACTGTCGTCCAGACACAGCTTGCAGAAGTACCTGCAGTACAAATACTGCTGTCACTGAAGTACCTGCAGTACAAATACTACTGTTACTGAAGTACCTGCAGTACAAATACTACTGTTACTACAGACTGTCGACCAGATACAGCTCGCAGAAGTACCTGCAGTACAAATACTGCTGTTACTGAGGTACCTGCAGTACAAATACCGCTGTTACTGCAGTACAAATACTACTGTTACTACAGACTGTCGTCCAGACACAGCTCGCAGAAGTACCTGCAGTACAAATACTGCTGTTACTGAAGTACCTGCAGTACGAATACTACTGTTGCTGAAGTACCTGCAGTACAAATACTACTGTTACTACAGACTGTCGACCAGACACAGCTCGCAGAAGTACCTGCAGTACAAATACTGCTGTTACTGAAGTACCTGCAGTACGAATACTACTGTTGCTGAAGTACCTGCAGTACAAATACTACTGTTACTACAGACTGTCGACCAGACACAGCTCGCATAAGTACCTGCAGTACAAATACCGCTGTTACTGCAGTACAATACTACTGTTACTACAGACTGTCGTCCAGACACAGCTCGCAGAAGTACCTGCAGTACAAATACTGCTGTTACTGAAGTACCTGCAGTACGAATACTACTGTTACTGAAGTACCTGCAGTACAAATACTACTGTTACTACAGACTGTCGACCAGACACAGCTCGCAGAAGTACCTGCAGTACAAATACCGCTGTTACTGCAGTACAAATACTACTGTTACTACAGACTGTCGTCCAGACACAGATCGCAGAAGTACCTGCAGTACAAATACTGCTGTTACTGAAGTACCTGCAGTACAAATACTACTGTTACTACAGACTGTCGACCAGACACAGCTCGCAGAAGTACCTGCAGTACAAATACTGCTGTTACTGAGGTACCTGCAGCACAAATACCGCTGTTACTGCAGTACAAATACTACTGTTACTACAGACTGTCGTCCAGACACAGCTTGCAGAAGTACCTGCAGTACAAATACTACTGTTACTGAAGTACCTGCAGTACAAATACTACTGTTACTACAGACTGTCGACCAGATACAGCTCGCAGAAGTACCTGCAGTACAAATACTGCTGTTACTGAGGTACCTGCAGTACAAATACCGCTGTTACTGCAGTACAAATACTACTGTTACTACAGACTGTCGTCCAGACACAGCTCGCAGAAGTACCTGCAGTACAAATACTACTGTTACTGAAGTACCTGCAGTACAAATACTACTGTTACTACAGACTGTCGTCCAAACACAGCTTGCAGAAGTACCTGCAGTACAAATTCTATGTGTACCTCTTCTTGGCGGGCAGGTCCCGGGCCTCCACCACCCACACCGTCAGCACGTTCTCCAGCCGCCGGCTGTTGTCCTTGTTGGGGTGCACGGCTCGCCGCAGGTTCTCCATCCATTTGTCTCGTTCTGCAGCCGAACGACACGAGAAGCACTTCGTTCCTGTGGAGGTCGTTACCTAGGAGACACAGGTCAGAGGTCAGCAGGAGGTCGAGTGTGTGTGTATTAGGTGTGTGTACTGTGTACTGTGTGTGTCACCTCGAAGCAGTAGTCCTGGCCCAGCAGGGAGGAGTGAACAGGTTTGATGAGCACTGACTGGTCCATCCTGAGTTCCAGAGATGACACACAGCCGGCGCTTAGCAACGACTCCTGACTTCCACAACGCAGCCGCTGCATCACACACCTGAAACACACGAGCAACAACCAGGTGTGACGGTCAGGTGACATCAGCCATGAGGTCATAGACAGTTCACACCTGAAACACGAGCAACAACCAGGTGACGGTCAGGTGACGTCAGCCATGAGGTCATAGACAGTTCACACCTGAAACAAGGGCAACAACCAGGTGACATCAGCCATGGGGTCATAGACAGTGCACACCTCAAACACATGAGCAGCAACCAGGTGACGATCAGGTGACGTCAGCCATGGGGTCATAGACAGTGCACACCTCAAACACATGAGCAGCAACCAGGTGACGATCAGGTGACGTCAGCCATGAGGTCATAGACAGTTCAAACCTGAAACACGAGCAACAACCAGGTGACGGTCAGGTGACGTCAGCCATGAGGTCATAGACAGTTCACACCTGAAACACACGAGCAACAACAAGGTGACGGTCAGGTGACATCAGCCATGAGGTCATAGACAGTTCACACCTGAAACACGAGCAACAACCAGGTGACGGTCAGGTGACATCAGCCATGAGGTCATAGACAGTTCACACCTGAAACACGAACAACAACCAGGTGTGACGGTCAGGTGACGTCAGCCATGAGGTCATAGACAGTTCACACCTGAAACACACGAGCAACAACAAGGTGACGGTCAGGTGACATCAGCCATGAGGTCATAGACAGTTCACACCTGAAACACAAGCAACAACCAGGTGACGGTCAGGTGACGTCAGCCATGAGGTCATAGACAGTTCACACCTGAAACACACGAGCAACAACAAGGTGACGGTCAGGTGATGTCAGCCATGAGGTCATAGACAGTTCACACCTGAAACACGAGCAACAACCAGGTGACGGTCAGGTGATGTCAGCCATGAGGTCATAGACATTTCACACCTGAAACACACAAGCAACAACAAGGTGACGGTCAGGTGACGTCAGCCATGAGGTCATAGACAGTTCACACCTGAAATACATGTAGCAACAACCAAGTGACGGTCAGGTGACGTCAGCCATGAGGTCATAGACGGTTCACACCTGAAACACATGAGCAGCAACCAGGTGTGACGGTCAGGTGACGTCAGCCATGAGGTGCTAGACTGTTCACTCCTGAAACACATGAGCAACAACCATCACTACGCTGAATACGTCCAAAGAAATTAGAGTAGTAGTACAGTAGCAGTAGTAGTAATTTATGGTTTATTAGAAGTAAGAAGAGAAGATCATCATCTTTGTAGTAGCGTCCATGTTGAAGAACGACTTCACAACTTGGGAAGCGGGACTGTAGCGGGGTTCTCTTCCAAACTACTCAAAATAGGGAAAAACACAGGCGTAGTCGAAAAATAGTGGCGTGATTTTTATTATGCCGGCCTCCAAAGTGCAAACAGTGAAAAAATTTGCATAGAGAAAACTAAAAAAATAACTATTTGAAAAAAAATTAATAACTTACTCAATAATAAAGTTACACACAAAAAAAACACAAAATACAAATCACTAGTTACCTCCTCTGTAACCAGGCCAAGACTGCCCTCATAGGCCCAAAGCTGTGACTTTTAAAGACAGTAGCCCCTCCCACTAGGCTTAACCATTATTTACACGATATAATAAATAGATTTTACTAACTTCAGAAAAGGATTTAAATCTATTACATTATTATATCCATTTATATTATTTATCTCCACAAACATTTTTCTTCCCCTGGAACAGTTATTTACATCACAAATTATTACTACAACCAAAAACCATAATTTGCCAGTTCACATGACCATGAAAGCGTGCAAGAACATGCTATTTAAAAGACGGAAATGTTACGCTCCCGTTTTGCCAAACTGGATGAGAAACAGAGCAAACCTGCGATGCATCACGACACATAGTAAGTGTTTGATGTTTGTTTAAATGTATGCTTAAAGAAGAGTAGAACTACCAAGTGTGCACCCTTGATCGCGCTACTTAAACAATTGAAGAAAAATGCACACGTGTGTGTGTGTGTGTGTGTACTCAGTGACAGAACCACTCCATCGCAGGGACCATGAAAGGAGCACCTGAATGCACCGTGAGTCACTGATTGCAATTCCAAACCCTCACCACTAGATGCCACTAAACGAACACAATGAACATTTAAAACAAAACGTACTTACGCCCTAAAGTCTCCCCTGCTACCTCGTCTATGTTCCTCTAAATGGGACCATAATTTACTAAATGAACATCATGCTGTGTTGAAGAAGACTTGAAACTAGCGACTGAGACCATAAACTCATCAGGAAAGTGTTTACTGAGGGAATAAATCAGCTGACAAGTAGAAACATTTTCTCAGAGACTTCTATACAATCACACTTCTTTCTGCAGACAGAGGAGTCGCCCCCTGCTGGCTGCTAGAGAGAACGCAGGTTTAAGGGACTTCATCCTCTGGTTCAGGTCCAGAATGTACTACTGCACTACAGGATGGCGCCTCCTCCTGTTTTCAGGGAGGGACTTTTTTATCACACTCTTCCACCTCAGCAGGTGTCTCCAGGTGTTATGGATAAATGTCCTGAAGTGATGTCCCTTGAGTCAACATCGTTCACAGGTTTGAAACTGAAACAAGTTGTTGGTGTGGAGTTAGAGGCGAGCTCATGGACCTCTGTAGCTCGCTGCAGACTACATTAGCTTAGACGTCGACTTGCTGCTTGTTGCTGCCACTACAGCTGCCTAAAAGGTTGAGAAGTCTGGGACTCACAACGTGTCTCACCCAAAGGATGGACACCATCACTGCTCCCCTCTACCCGTTAGCCGAGAGTTGTATTGTGGGTAATGTAGGCAGCAGGGTTTTACATGGAAGGAGAACGTGTGGAATGTATCTCTGGTTTTGCTGCAGTGATTCTGATTAATTAACCAATCCACATTTCACCAACCCACATTTAACCAATCCGTTTTTAACTAACCCGTATTTAACTAACCCGTATTTATCCAACCCGTATTTAACTATACCACACTTAACTTACCCGTATTTAACTAACCCATATTTTACTAACCCGTATTTAACCAACCCATATTTTACCAATCCACATTTAACCAACCCGTATTTAACCAACCCGTATTTAACCATCCCATATTTAACCAACCCACATTTAACCATCCCGTATTTATCCATCCCATATTTAACCAACCTGTATTTAACTAACCCGTATTTAACCAACCCATATTTAACCAACCTGTATTTAACTAACCCGTATTTAACCAACCCATATTTAACCAATCTACATTTAACCAACCCACATTTAACCAACCCGTTTTTAACCAGCCCACATTTAACCAATCCACATTTAACCAACCTGTATTTTACTAACCCGTATTTAACCAACCCATATTTTACCAATCCACATTTAACAAACTCGTATTCAACCAACCCGTATTTAACCAACCCATATTTAACCAATCCACATTTAACCAACCCGTATTTAACCAACCCATATTTAACCATACCACACTTAACTATTTAACCAATCCACATTTAACAAACTCGTATTCAACCAACCCGTATTTAACCAACCCATATTTAACCAATCCACATTTAACCAACCCGTATTTAACCAACCCATATTTAACCATACCACACTTAACTAACCCGTATTTAACCAACCTGTATTTAACCATCCCATATTTAACCAATCCACATTTAACCAACCCACATTTAACCAACCCACATTTAACCAACCCACATTTAACCAACCCGTATTTAACCATACCACACTTAACTAACCCGTATTTAACCAACCCATATTTTACCAATCCACATTCAACAAACTCGTATTCAACCAACCCGTATTTAACCAACCCATATTTAACCAATCCACATTTAACCAACCCGTATTTAACCAACCCATATTTAACCATACCACACTTAACTAACCCGTATTTAACCAACCTGTATTTAACCATCCCATATTTAACCAATCCACATTTAACCAACCCACATTTAACCAACCCACATTTAACCAACCCGTATTTAACCAACCCATATTTAACCATACCACACTTAACTAACCCGTATTTAACCAACCTGTATTTAACCATCCCATATTTAACCAATCCACATTTAACCAACCCACATTACCCCAACCATATTTAACCATACCACACTTAACTAACCGGTATTTAACCAACCCGTATTTAACCAATCCACATTTTACCAATCTGTATTTAACCAACCCACATTTAACCAATCCACATTTAACAAACCCGTATTTAACCAACCCATATTTAACCATACCACACTTAACTAACCCGTATTTAACCAACCTGTATTTAACCATCCCATATTTAACCAATCCACATTTAACCAACCCACATTTAACCAACCCGTATTTAACCAACCCATATTTAACCATACCACACTTAACTAACCCGTATTTAACCAACCTGTATTTAACCATCCCATATTTAACCAACCCACATTTAACCAACCCACATTTAACCAACCCGTATTTAACCAACCCATATTTAACCATACCACACTTAACTAACCGGTATTTAACCAACCCGTATTTAACCAATCCACATTTAACAAACCTGTATTTAACCAACCCGTGTTTAACCAACCCGTATTTAAATGCTAATGTTGGTTAAAAGAGGATTTATGGACGATTATTCTCAGTGGTGCTCAGAGATGACGATACTGATGATAAACACCTGCAGATGATGTTGGTGAGACACCAAACTACATTAAGGGCCCCTGTCCACCAACGCGTTTTTCCTGAGGCCAGCGTCTTTTTTCTTTTTTGCAATGGGAGCGTCATGTTTTTACAACATGGTAAAAATGCCAGCAGCATGACGACGCACTGAGCGTCTTTTCCGCGCTGAATGTTTTTTTTCTGGTTGCCAAGAGTTGTTAAACTTTGGGAAAAACGCAGCGCTTGTCACTGTCACTTTTTACCCAGCCATCCAATCACAGTGCAGGAGGGGCGGGACAAACATCCATCTAAGACCCATCTAAGCTCAGAATCAGAGCAAATTCATCACTGTGGTAAAT